ACATTTTCATGCTTTTGTTATTATTTTACATGTATTGTATTTGTGCAAAATAATGCCCAAGGGCATTATTTCGAGATATATAATTTCTAGAGAACTAAGGCAATGATTTTTAAAAAATAAAACTATTGTTCTTAGCTCTTTAGACATTGTGTGTTTTAAAATAATGCCTGGTGCATTATTCTGCAATAATATGGTATATTTATTCACTTGATTATTTATTATTGATCAATGATATCTTTATTAAATTCACCGTATTACTTAATCGTAATCTAAATTTTGCCTTTAAGTAACAAGTCACTTTTGGCATGTTGAAGGTGCATGCATTTAAATTACTGAATATGATTTTAATGATACATATATGCTATTGCATGTATTGTTCTCAAATTCGATTATTAACATCCAATTTTGTTTTAAATATAGATTTCAATCAAGTTTTTTTGCTTGCTTCTGTAAAGTTTTGACTAAATACTAACTGTTTTTTATATTTCAAATTAGATATTATTCCAAATAAAGATATTATTCATTACTTAGCCAAAGTAAATAGCTAAAAAAATCGAATAGCATGATTTTTGAATAATTCTTTCTAAGTTTAACAAGTAATGCATGCCAACTAACTGGCATAAAAAATATTATGTGATGATTATTAGAAGAAATAATCACTTTCAAGTCCCCACAAATAAGTAAAATATGTGTTTAACTGACACGAAAATTATGCAATGATTATTAGAAGAAATTAATCACTCCTAAGCCCCCACAAATAGGTCAAACATGTGCTTAACTGATGTAAGAAAGGTTATTAGAAGAAATTAATTACTCTTAAGCCTTTACGAATAAGTCAAACATGTATTCAACTAACGTGAAAAGCATAATTATGTGATGAAAACTGTGTAGTTGTTATTAGAAGAGTATAAGTTAAAAAATTTAATTATGAGGTATCATGCATGAAAGAGGATTCAGAATTAGAAATATGTAAATCAAAAAAAATTATATGCGATAAATAGAAAAAGAATTAGAAATTATATAGTGGTTAGAAGAATCCAAATTAAAAAAAATGGCGTAAAGTATCATGCATGACATTGAGTAGAAAGCGTAGAACATATAGAATTCGAATTTTTAAAAAATGTATTTAAACTGCACTTTTTGATTCAATAAAAAATCAGAATATGATTTTTAAATAATAAAAATTAAAAATAATAGCCACTTTTATAAACTTCGAAATATTTTTTGTAATTTTATATTTATTATATTCTAGCTTAAAAAAATTAAATTATTTATTCTTATCATGCTTTAAATTACCACATTATTACCTTTTCTAACTTTAAGATTTCTAAATATTTCTCTTTCTACATTTACTAATATCAGTATTGCTCATCTGAAAGTAATAACACATCCTAAAAAAAAAGAAGATAAATAAATATTATTAAATATATAAAGAAATAAATAACCCCTTAAGTAATTGATTTATAATGTTATCAATATTTAAAATTACAATCTGTTATGCAGACATCTTCAGGTTTTGCTTTATCACTTTCAGCTCAAGGTTAATGCTAGACTGGCTTTTATCATTCTGAACAGAAAAAAAAAGACAATAAATATGATGCAAAATGTAACATTGTTTGAGTAAATTAATTGGCAAACCCGTATTGCTTTATCAGCATGTACTTCAATGTGGTGATTGGCCTGCTTCTAAAAAAGCTATTTATCTTCAAAAAATTGCTGATGAAAATCCTGCATCTTGCAAACATATTCGTAATAATGAGGATGATATTTTAATTGAGCAAGAAGATTCTAAAAGTATGGTTCAGCCCTTTGTGCATCCTTATTAAAGTACTATTCATAATTGGTGCATTCCTTTACCTCAAACACAATCTGAAAATCTCTATATAAAGCTTTTAAAAACTATTATTTACAGAAATATTCCTTTTAACATTGTTAAGAATTCTTATTTAAAAAATTATCTTACTGCCCTAAATCCTTCTTATCATCCTTCTTTCTAAGACATGATCAAAGGACATCTTTTAACCAAGTTATTCTCTGATCATATTTAATAAAAATTGAATACACTTCCTGCACTTACAGACTTTACAGTCTCCTTAGACAGATGGACTGACAATTCTGAAAATTCTATTTACAGTTTTATGGCTCTTAAAGAGAATCAGAAAAATGTACTAGATATTCTAGATCTGTCAGCATATCATTATACAAGTGACTTTCTCAAAGAGAAAGTAAAAGAAACCCTATTTGCAAGTGGTATTCAAATGTTATTTGCAATTGCTGTTGTTACAGATAATACTGCAAATATGGATAAAATAAGATGACTTCTTAATATAAGTATATTTTTAAAATAAATAACATACACATCAGGCATAAATGTTATACTTACTTTATTATTAAATTTAGGATGAATACTCTAATATTATCCTTGTTCGCTGCTGCTTATATGTTTTTAACCTAATTATTAAAAACATTGTTAGCTTTAGTAGTACTGTCACTGTTTGCCAAAAAAATCAAAAACTTGTAAATTTTTTTAATTCATCACATATATGGTGTTGAGAGCTACAAAACTGGCAAAAGGAACAAGGAATTAAACATTCTTTAGTAATGTTTTGTAAAACAAGATAGTACTTCCTTGCTAAAGTTTGCATAGGTGTATCAACCTATGAACAAGGTTTTCAACATTGTTTATCACTAAGTAAAACTACATGTCCCAAATATTCTAAGATTAGTAATAGCATTGTTAAAAATCTTATTTGAGACAAATATCATTTTGGCACTAATGATACATTGATGAAAGTAATTAAACCCATTGTTGATGCTATTAGAAGGTTGAAATCAAATAATTCCACTCTGGCTGACATTTTTAAAAAACTAATTTTTATTTACTAAGAAATATTTCAACTTAATATTCCTATTACCTGGTTTTAATCCTATGCACTTGCTGCTGTTAACAAATGTACAAGAGAGTTTAATAACAACATCTATTTCATCACATTTTTTCTTTCTCTGGCTCACAAGCAAATGGCCATATCTAAAAAATTTGATGGTAACAAAATTATTTACGCTTCATTAGAATTGGCTAAAATGTGGAATTTTAAAAAAGAAGACTTGATCCTTCTGTTAAAAGAACTAATTAATTACAAGAACAATGTTTCACCATTCAATACACTTCTGCCTAGTTCTTCAACATTTTTATGAACATTCTGGTCTGAATTTACTAGAAATGCATCCCTTTTATATTGTTTTGTGATGAAGGTTTTTGCAATTGTTCCTTATGGAGCTAGCTGTGAAAAACTCTTTTCATCGCTTGGATTAATTAAGTCAAAAATGCAAAATAGAATAACTCTAGAGAATCTTTCTATACTCGGACAGCTTAGGAATAAACTTAAAAAAAAGGTACCTACTAAAGCTAAACAGAATAAACTTGTTCCTGAACTTTCAGGTGATGACAATAGAAATTTAAATATCTTTTTTGATGAAGAAACTGAAGAGTTAGAAGATTTGGATGAAGATCTTAAAGAAATTATCTTAGAACAGAATGAAAACTCTTTTATGAACGAACTTTTTGACTTTGTAATGTTTGAAAAAGATCAAAAAGCTCTTAAAGATTTGCTTGACGTTGGTGTAGAACAAAGTAATCTGTTATCAGAAGAAGATTGGTCTGTTGACGACATTCTTGAAAACCTGTAGACCTTTATTCTTTTTATTCTATGTATATAATAAATTATATAATAAAAAAATATATTGATATTTAATAAAAAAATTTAATGTTAACATTATTGGCCAGTAGATCATGCCTTATAATATTTGTCATATGAAATCATACATACATATATATGTACGAAACTTCTTTTTTGCAACCCTAGTTGTTCGTATGACCAGGGATATTTTTTTTACTAGTATATCCTTCATGTTTTAGAATGTTGTTTAAACTTTCAGACCTCTATATATTAAATAAGAAAAGATAATTCACTTATATGTAAAAATAGAGAAAAATATTAGTTATTTTAGTCAATTTAAACTGAAAACTTAGCAACATTTACAGTTATTCAATAATGATGAAATTTTTTTTACTAACATTTTATTCGGCATTTACTTTGCAAAATAATCTCAAAACTGAGAAAGTGGTAACTGGAAATATTTTTGTCTAAACTATCTTGTTATGTTAGATTCAAATAAACTTTATTACTAACAGTTTAGTTTGAACAAGTACAAGCTCTTAAAACAAGAATTTAGTTTAATGTTTAGATTTGGTTGGTTTTTTGTAGTTAACTGTAAATTTAAAGTTTTGGTTTATATATTACTGTATTGTATTAATTTTGTAATAAATATTATATTTATCTGCTTTATACATATCTATCCTATTTTTTAAATATATGCAATAAAATATTTTGAAATTTGTAAGTTTTTTTATATGAAGTATTCTTTTGTTTTTTAGTAGTATTATAGTGACATTGACCAATTATAATCATATTATGATGCATCATGTAACTGATAGTTAACCAATTATAGTCATAATACAGTATATTATATACTATGCTAGTATTAAATTACACATGAGGGACATGCCCAAATATTTTTCCTATGCCTTCAACTCTACTTTTAAGCTTATGACTACCCTTTTGTACAGATTTCCAAGAAATTTATTAACACTGCAAAAAGTAGGTAATATAAACTTTCAACCTTTTTTAGAGTTCAAAAAAAGATAAGTTCAGATAACAGACAACTAACTGATACACATTAAAGGTTTGTACACTTTGTACAACTAATAACTATTTTTATTCTATTCAGAATATTGATAACAAATAAAACTGAATCATAATTAATATTGTAGTTTAGATATATAGAAAATTTATAGTGTAGGTATTAGTATTGTAACAATGAATAAATGATTCTTTTCAATTTTTACTATAATCAATAAAGCAAAAGCATGTTATCACGAGTATTACCAATATTTTTTGTGTGGTTAACCTTTTGAATATATCCTATTTTGTAATAAAACAATGTTAAATAATCAACTAACAATCAATATCTTGAGAGAATTAAACTCTAGGCTTGCATTTAAAATTACTGAACTTAGAAAAGAGAATGTTGAGATTCCTGAACTTAGAAAAAATTTTTCCAAAGTTGAGACTGAGAACATCAAACTTAAAGCTAAGAATGTAAAATTAAAACAGGCTTTGGAAGAACATAAATCCAGATTTGCAAAACTGGATCAGAACGATAAAAATACTGCTGTTAAAAATGCTGAGCTTAAAGCTAGAGTTGGAAATTAGAACAGAAGCAATCGAAAACCAATGAAAAGAACAACTTTATTGTTAAATCAGATGATGATGTCAAGAAAATCAATCAATCTTTAGTCTGTAAAGCAGGATACTCTGTATCTAATACCACTTCTACCAAAATAAAAAATTCTAATGATACTAATATATCTGACACTACTTCAAATTCTGATGTTGTTTCTGAACAAATAGAAAATATTTCCAATAACATAACCGATTCAGATTCATATCAGGAAAAGGATAGCTAATCTTTTACATTTCCTATTTATATAGGAATTTTATTATTGAAAGAGAAAGAAATTAATGAAATTTTGAAATTACAGAAAAAGGAGAGGGTTAGTAATATGGCAAGAAAAAGAAATAAGAAAAAAAAGATTTGCCAAGAGCAACAATTAGTATGAAAAATATCATTCTCTTCTGATATACAAAATGCAATTTCTACTGAACTAAATCCTATTATCAAAATTACCTATGAGCATAAAACCACAAAATCAGAATCAATGTCTACTGATCAAGCACAAAATACCATAATCAAAATTCCATATAATAAAAGAGTTGAGCAAAACTTAAAGCATGACTTATCTGTGTTCATTAAAGAGAATAATAATAAAGTTAGTGAAGCATTTGATATACAAATTCCTGAATTCTTACTAGAAGTAATTATAACAGAATCTAGCAAAATTTCAGCACAAAATATAGCTAATTTATTTATTATAGCAATGAAAGTTAGACAAAAAGAGATTTTATGTTGGTATTGTTTCTATAAAGCATATGAGGATCGAATCAAAGATATTAAGTGTATAAATAAGATTGATAATCAATCAGCAAGAATATTGGTATATAATAAGATAAAAAAACTTCTCCCGGATATCACTGATATAAACTTGCATCAGAAAACATTCAAAGCAAAAAAGATTTATACATTACTTGTAGAAATAGAAATAGAAAAAATCCAAACAATAATATGTAATGCAAGTGCAATTTCGAGTTTAATAGACAATCAGATTCAAGATATTATAATTTATTTTTCTAAAAAATTTATTAGCATAGATGACTCTTCAGTTAAATGCCAAAATTGATTGACATTACAAATTGTAATGCATACATGATTGAACAGACTTTACCAAAAACCGAGATAAGTATTACAACCACTCCATCAATCTCATTATCTCAAATTTCTAATTTGGAAGATATAGTAAATAAGAATAGTGAATTTTCAGAAATCGTAAATGTATTTGATGGCTTTTCAGATTTTAACTCTGATAGTAATGAGGATAAGAAAAATATAGATGATACCAATAAAAATGATAAATATGATAATGAAACGAATTTGAAAGATTCAACTAAGGTAAATACTATATATAACTATGCCTATTTTCATAATAAATTAGAAGAACAATATCTTGATTTATTTTGAAAAGGTAGAGATAGAAACAATGATTATTATGAAATTACTGATGAATCTTTATGTCTGTTATGCAAGACAGATTATTATAAGAATAAAAGTATAAAAGGCAAATATAAAAATAAAACCAATTTTATTAAATATGTACAGTGTAGAATTAAAACTAAGATAATGGCATAAATTTTAGAAGCTTTACTTCAGCTCTGCTATCTTATGCCCCACCAATTCATTTTATATATATAGTAAAAACAGTTAACTATATTAATCTGAACATGAGCTTGTGAACAGTGCATATTTATTTTTTGTTGGTTATAGCCACCAGTTTCACTATTAATTTAAAGAGATAGAAACTATATAAAATAGCACATAAATATACAAACAAATATCAATAAAATATTAACTCTTGAATATTTAGAATAGGAGGCTAAATTAACAAAATTACCAAGCATTTTGTTAGATAAAACTCGTTCTAGGTTCTATAATAGATATAAGAATAAAACTGAGCTTGATCTCTGAATAAACTCTGAAACTTCCAAATCTAAACAAATCGAAAAGGCTGGCAATCATCTTTCATGAGACTGTATCATCAAAATTTCCAAGTTTTCAGAAGAGAAAAGTACAATCCATAAAGCAGTACATAAATGCTTTCCTTTCTTGTCATATACTAAATCGAATGTATGATACCAAGATGTTTTAAATATACAGATCCAGAAGCTAAATGTTTGATATGTAAAGAAGTATATATTTGTTTAGGTATATGAGATGACTGGAGCTGTCTTAATAAAAATGATCATTATTTTCTTAATTGCCCTTTTCATATCGATCAAAAGAAAGTTATAATCACTATACAGAGCACATCAGAAATTCAAGTAAATGTACTAAACAAAACCTGCTTTTATCAGCCAAAGGCAGACTTATGCCAATATGCCATTGACCATAAAATAGATCCTGAGAAATTTTTGATCATTACTAAGGCTGAGAAAAATAGATGGACCATAGAATGTTTTTCTGCTGACTTAGAAAGAAATATATAGTTCTATTAAAGTAGAATAGAAAGAAATGAAGATATCAGAAAATATCACAAATTTTTAACAGATCAGGATAGACTAGTTGGTGAAGAGCTATTACATCGAAGTATACTAAAAAGTAGTTTGAGTACTGCATAGCTTGATGATCTTATAGAAGAATAGGAAAAAATCCATGCTCAATTCATACAGATATCTTTTGAAAAAAAAACTTTATTTGTACTGCAGGTAAATATTCAATCTGGACCATTCAAACCTCAATTACCAATTTCTGTTCTACCTAAAGACCCAGAAGAAAGGCAACAACACATTATTAAAATGGTATTAGAATGATTTCTTTATTTAACTTTGAAACATAGTTTTAAATATAGTAATTATTTTAATTTTAATAGATCTGTACTATGTTCTTTATATGATAAAAACCATAAAAAAGAAAATATAAGAAATCATATAAAGGGTACTTGGAATAGTGGTGAATATGTTAATACAAAAACTTATCATCTCTATTATTATATAAATAAATATTAGAATTCAATTCCAATAGTAACAGTAAAAGCATAGGTTAATAAGTAGAACCCATTTATATGATTAGTTAAAAAAAATGGTGAGCTCACTGAACCCTTTTTTTATTTTATAAAAAATTGCTAAAATAGTATACAAATAAAAAAAATACATCACAGTTGCCCAAACAAACAACAATATATATATATAAACTATTTATTAATTTTGATTTAGTCTTTCTTGTCATTGTTCAGGATTCTTATACTCATTGAAATCATTTCTTCACACCATTCTGAATTTTCTTCTGAAAAATTATCCAAGGATCTGCTTTTATTAATGTTATAGTTATCATCTTCTCTGGAGTTATAGGTTGAATCATTTAATTTAATGCATAGCCTGATGAAATAAGTTTTAGCCTTAGTCTTAAAAGTTACCTTCTACCATATCTGTTTCTCTTATTATTGCATTGATGATTAGAATTAGATGTTCTTTAGTTAGATCTTGGATTGGGCAGTATTGGGGGTACATAATAGGTTTTAGAAGGATTATTGTTATTAGTCATAAAAGTAGTAGCACTATTACTTGTAGTAGTGGCATTATTATCATTAGTCTTGGGGGTGTTACTATTGTTGGTCTTGGGGGTGGTAGTAGTTTTTTTATTACTACTCATTTTTCATATTTAAATACAAAAAAAATTATAGTAAGAAAAAAATTCAGTTTTATAGCTGAAATAAAATGAAATAACACAAATTACTTAAAAAAATATACAGGCAAGTGAATCAAATAATGTTATTGCTAACTTATCTTATAGGTAAGAGCCTGCTTATTTTTATACTTCATATTCATTAGGTCTGAGAACCTGCCAGAAGAAAAACTCCATTAATAATTAAGTTATTCAAATCCAATGTCAGTTTTTATCTCTATAAAGCAACTCTGCTTGGTTATAAGTTTCAAATACTGAATGTATTTTATTATTTTTTTAAGTGAAATTATATTTTCTTAAATTCGATGATTACTTAAGATGAATTTAGATCTGATGATCTCAAGATGGCAGAGATCTCAAGTTCATACAATATATAAAACTACTGATTAAGAACATTATATATATTACTCTTATAACCTTTTTAAGTCCTATTCTTATTGCAAGATCTTATATAAGGTAAAGAAAAGGTTCTAAAGTGTGTAGTTATTAACTGTTAATCAAAAATTAACTGTGAAAATAATTCTGCAAGAGAGTGACACTGCATAAAATTTAGATCTTTTGGGTCATTGTAAAACAATAATGCAGACCATTAATTATTAAAGCTGATCAAGGATTCAAACTAAATATCAAGTGACATGTTGTTACTATTTTAGCTTTGTCATATTATCATATAACTTAACGGTCCTATGGGTCTGCTTTTATTTTGGCCTAGGTCATAATGTGTATATACTTTATTTTTTTCTAGCATAGATTAATGGCAAAATAAGTCACAAATGGCCATTATTTTTGAATAGTTATTAACGTAGTTGTGCTAATTAATACATATTTATATTTGTAGATATTTGTACAGTATTTACACTTTTGCTAGATGTTTGATCAACATATTTTGATTATATTGCATAAATAATGAAGTTATTCTAAATTTGTAGATCTAATTTAAATATAGTATGTAAAATAATTACTGTATTCCATATAGCCAAATGTGCCTCAACAAGTTATTAATGTAATCCCAAATATAGAAAACATGTGATTGTTGATTGAATTGCCATGTCCAATAATTGTGGTGCTGAATTTGGTAAACAGCAATTTGTTAGAAAATTACAAAGTCTATTATAATATTAAATAAAGCAATATGCTAACCATTGTTTTGATGAATTACTATTTTTTAGAAAGTGTACTCTGTAATTGCAAAGTGTTAAATTATCAAGTTATGTTTTGCAACATATAATGCTGTGATAAAAAAATATTTGGTAAATTTATAAATTAACACACATTAGAAGTAACTATACTTTTAGTTATAATTGTATTTTCTAATAAAAGGGGTGCCTTTCAGTATAAACCCTCATAATTTATTTTTTATAACATTGTAAGCTTTGCTATATATATTACTAAAAATTTTCACCTGCTAGTAATATATCGAGAATGTTTTTTAAATTTATAAACAATGCAAGAATTCTTTAAAAAGTGTAAAAATGAAAATGAAATTTCTAACCTTGTTAACATATTCTAAGAGAAACTAACCAAAAAATTGTTATATCATGCTCGTTATAATAAAAAATATGGACTTGAAAAAGAACAAATTTCAACTCTACCAATAGATTATAATTTATCTATTGCACCAACCATAGCATTAATAATTAATAATATTACTTTTGATCCAAACTGGATATATATTATTTATAATTATCAAATTCTTTCCTCACTGCTAAGATTGTTTTTATATTAATTGGTTGATCTTTTCATGAATATACTCAGATATGCAAAAAAATTTATTTTATAGTAGAAGCGATAGGGTCTCTACTAAGTATATTTGTGGTTCAACAGACACACAGTTATTTTTTTAATAATCTAATAATTAGTTAGGGTGGTTAGTCTAGTCCACAAAAATATTAGACAGAAGAGAATAAATCTAAAAACTCATCCAAATCTATTAATAAGCTTAATATTAATTTTATCTTTTGTGTTATTAATTATTAGCATTAGACCCAACATGCAACTTGGAGGTTATGTATGCAAGATAAAATATTTTATATTGAAAAAGAGTAGAAAAGCATTCTGCTTGGCCCATCCAATCACATAGTGTCAAAAGAAGTTAAAAGTCAAGAAAAAGTTTTTGCAGAGGAATTATTAATAGAAACATTAGTTTGAGAAGCTATATTAGTAAACAGAGTTAAGCTATCCAAGATCCTGCCTAATTTTTTAGCACTTATTAATAATGAGATAATTAAAGTCAATTATGTTATCTAAGTAAAGTTCAAAACAAAAGATCTAAATGAACAATTGTAGCTTTCTCTTGAACAATAGTTAGGGATGAAAGAACCACTTACAAGAAGAGATATACGTCAATATCTCTGATATAAGTGGAAAAAACTAAAACATGCTATAGAAATTCGAAATTATATAGAATCACAAAATTCTTCAAATATAATAACCTTATGTATCTCTTGAAAAAAAAGATCCAAATGATAATTTCTGCACGAGGTAATCTTCAATTACTAAAAGAGTTAGTGCAGTTTCAGTACATTGTAAAACCAGAATGTGTTACTGATATGAATGGCCGAACTTTAATACATCTGGCATTACTTAATAATCCAAAAGCAGTTATACAAGCAATGGATGCTGTAAACTATTATTATTTTTATATCTTAAATAACCCTTCCCACTGTAGCGATGAATTCTAGAAGAATTTTATAGAACATTTTGGTGCATATATATGAAATACCTCCTCCTATTCATTAGTTTGAATACTGCAAATTTTCATAATGTCACATATCAAGAATGTATTGACACTTTACTTCACAAACTTGGTCTATTATCAACCTTTGTTAATGAATTTGTACAAAAATTCTATAGAAATCTATATAAAAAATTAGAAAAGTTGGTGTAGGAACCCTTTACACCTCAACTCTTTAGAATCTTCCTGATGATCGCTATTAATTACAATACAACTAGTGATTATCATTAGAACAAACACAATGAACCAAATAGTTTATGCTGTTTGGTCACTCTTGAAGAATTTGAGGGAGGAGAATTATGTTTCCCTTAACTTCAGATTATTGTACCACTTCGGCCTGGACAAGTTGTGGTGTTTTCCTTGCGTCTTCTATTGCACGGTAATTTTTTACTTACAAAAGGTATTCATTATAATATTGTATACTTTGTACATAATATCTTTTTTTATAATCTATAGAAATTTGATAATGTATATGATAATCTGAAGGATGGGATTGAGAAAAATGCTGATGAGCATGATGTTTTTTTCATTAAACATCAAAATCTTAATAATGCTTAAGGATTGAATTTCAGAACTACATTTTTTAAGCTGAAAAAAAAGCAAATAACAATTCCTTCTTCATTAACAGATTGTAGAAGGAGTTATATTTTTTTGGTACATGCTAGGTATAGGTTAAAGGCAGAAGATCCACTTTCAGATTTATAAGTAATTAGTAGAAATGTAATATATTTTTATTGTATTATATATAAATATATAATGTACATTTAAAAAATAAATAAATAAATTCTTGTCTTCTCCAAACATGTAGTTTTTACATAATTCTACTAATATGAGTTTACAATTTTCATTACAACCCAATATGCATCTCTTCTATTCTCATTTATATATCACTCACAAAATATGACAAATATACACAACTCATCTAATAATCCAATTCGTTCTAAAAACAAATCTGGTTTTAATCATATATATTGTACCAAATCTGATAAGTTAAAATATCTCTAAATATACTTAAATCTCATATAATCATTAAATATGTTAAGAGCAGAACACAATATAAATGAAAGAATTGCAAGAACTGATGAACATAATATTCTTAATAAAGTTATTGATGCTGAGAGGTCTTATGATTTCATTAGTATAATCTTTAAAGAAGAAACACCTATTTAGTGAGATTGTTATATTAAAATTACTTTTTAAGAGTTAATAGGTTCAGAAGGTCTATATTTTATATTTCATCAGTATTGCCTTTATGCTTCACATGTTCAAAGTGCGAATTTTAATAAATATAATTACAGCAAAGGTAAACCATATGAAGATAGTACTGCAATATGTTTTCATTATATAAAACTTATACATGTTAATGTTAATTTAGGTTTGAAGGCAAGTCAATTTGATTTAATGAAAGATCTTTATGATTATGAATGCTTAAGACTACAAACTAGTTATAGATGCTCAAGACTACGAACTGAGTTTGAATGTGCAAAGGTTATACAAAGACTTTGGAGAAATTTTAGAAAAAGAGAACCATTAAATGCACAACTTGCTTGGAACAGTTACCAAATGATAGTATCCCAGACGATGAAAAACTTCTAGGTTTAATAAAACATAAAGTGAAAAATCCTCAGACTCGAGAACAATTTGATCAATGATATATTAAATAAATTACAATGTATAAACAATATAATTTAAATATTCTTTTGGATACTTATATTAGAAATATGAAGAATATTATATTTCATATAATTGGATAGATTCTAAAAAAAGTCAATTGTAAGTTAGATTCAAAAAACAACTTTTAGAAATAGAAGCATAGTACATAGGTATTTATTCGATTTATTAATTCCTTGCAGATACAAAATACCTATACTATTTATATAATATTTTTTGGCTATGCTAGTTCTACTGATACTCTTGAAGACATAGATAGGTAGTTGTCTATCATTTTTCTAAAGGCAGAGCCTCATTGCTTTGCAATAATGCTATTCTTGAGATCACAATTGAGAAATATATTATGAAATTTCTGGAATAAAAAATACCAATGTGAAATAAAAATCTATAAAGTGGGTTCAGCAGATAATATGTTTTTTATCTTGTGCTTTTGTCGTAATTCTATCTCTTTTTGCAAATTTAGTGAAGTATCAAACTTTAGCTGAATTGCAAGTAGATCATCTTTAGGCCTATTTAAATTAAATACAATAAATTTGCTTTTGCATAAGTAGCTGTTAATAACCATTGATGCATTTTTTATGTCATCTGTATATCTACAAATAGTTTTAGAAACATCTTCATATGAACTATCAGAATTAAAAAGTACTAAGTAATTAGCATTTTCATGCATGAATGTAGTGATTTTATGATATTTCTGTGCCACAAATATATATGAAATATTTTGATGTCACTCATTTTCAAAAAATTGGCCAATTTGATTCTGTATATGTTCTGAAGCAAGAAGGTATTTTTGAATTTTTTTGCATGGCAGATTGAAAACCAATAACTTTGTTTTCTATATACTGGATAAAAATTTTCTTTTCCCTGATAATTTACTTCACTTTGTTCATGCATGGTCAGTTTATATATTCCAAAAAACAAATTTCTGGAGGTGGTCATACTGTAGGTATAATCTGGCTTTGAGTTCAAAGAACAAGAAAGTAGGATTGGGCGAAAAATTTGCCTGTATATATATCATATAATTAATAATATTATTAAGACAAAAATAACAAACTTAATAGGAGTAGTTTGATACTTATTAATTATGCTAGTACCTAATGCTATAATAGGTAATTCCTTACTCCTTTCTATTGTAATATTATAAGATCTAATCAGAGTCATATTTTTTATCTTTTGAAATTAGTTTTCTGTGTTGATTAGTTGTAATATATTATCTTTATTATTTTCATTAATAATAGTTTCATCACTTATCTTAGAAGTAATCTCAGTATTGATTTTTGAAGATTCTAATATTGAAACAATTTTATTATTAGCATGAGTTGGTATATTAGTGCTAATTTTTTTGATTTTGTTTATAATTTTTTTGTATGCAAAATATTGACTAGGATTTTTGCTAGTTTCACTAACTGCAGAGATATTATTATTGCAAAACAATGACTCTTTGGGTCTAAACTTTGATATATTTTTTTCACTATTTCCACCAACTACAGATATCGAAATATCCTCTAATTTTAGACGCTTAAGCTCACTGATCTTAGAATCTAATTCAATCTTTATATTTACCAATTCAGTTTTAAAGAACATTATCTTGGAATCTTTTTTTGATGAGTATTTCTGAGTTAAAGATAATTCTTCTTCCAATGACTTGATTCTAGATTGGAATGAATTTGCTTCTTCCAACTTACTATAATACTTGGCTTTATACTCAGTAAGGTTGGTATTTTTGCTTTTCAACTCTTTAATTTCTTCTTTGAGTTGTTTTTTAATCAAGTCATTTTGATTTTTGTCATTAATGTACTGATTTAATTTTTCTGGAGATGTAAAATCTTGTTATTTTTTTTTCTAGCTCTTTAGTAATCACATCAGATCATGCTTCTGCAAAAGCTTTGCATTTCTAAATTCAGAATATTTATTAGCAAAAAATTCAGTTTCAAAAAGCAACTTATTGCATTGAGATTCAAGTTTACATTCTCTACTACTATCTAATTTATATCCAGGGGTGTGGCAACTTAGTGAAGTGGATAAGTTGTCAACCCTTCAAGTAGTAAGTTGTGAGTTTAAAACCTACAGACAGTGAAAATTTGGATAATTACCTATGTAATATTCATATTACAGCAACTGTTTCTAATGATTGGGTTAAGATAACTGTAATTATAGTCGCATCAGCATGACTGGCAGGTTATAGGGCATCTGTGTAACTGGTTACATAGAGAAATGCAAACTGGCATTGGGTAGTACAAACCCAAAATAAGTTCTTGTAGCTGTGTAAATCCGTAGAAATTGGGAAACAAGAAGCCTATTTGAAAAGACCCAAGTAGAGAGGTAACACAGATCTTCGATAGTACTACTGTAAAGACTAGACCTAGGAAACAGATACCAATGTGGAGTACCCAGACAGGCAAAAACCTCTGGGTAGGGGGTATCACTAATCAGGTCATCTAAGTTCAACTGAGAGGACTAAAGAAAAAGGATATTAGGCCGATCTAATATACCAATAGGCTGGTTATAGTTCTATCAGACTATCTGGATTGAGAGTTTGGAGAAAAAGCAGAGGTATACTAAAAGTACTAGGGATATGCTGTGAAGTAAGATCTGAAGTCTGAGTGAACTCTGCATGGACAAGCCTTGTTAATGTTCCGTAAAGTAGGTAGGTAGTTAACAGAAGAGCCCCTGAAGCCTTATAGTTAGGTGTTATGCTCTGAAAATAATTGTGTAACAGCTTGACAGACATACAGAAAGGAGGCTAAATGTTGGGTTAGATGGCATTTAGGTATATAAGAACCAGGGTGCTAATTGCCTAAGTGCAGTATAGGAATCAAAGTGTTTAATTAGATAGTCTCTTAGTAGATTATAGGTATGGCAGCTAGTGTAGAACTCTTGGGCAGACTACTTAAATAGGTAACTAAAAGTTACACATGTGGCTAGTTGTATGCTTATCTTGTACAAGTAATATATAATATATTCACTAAAAATACAATAAAGGCATTAGCCACTATTAACATCAGCCTTTAAACAAAAAAAAAAAATTTATATTCATGTTCTTAAAAAGTTTTGACATTAGTAGATTTACTATGCAAAGTACATATTGGTACTATATAATTAAAAAGAATTATGTTCGAAGAAAAAAAACTAATTACAATTTGACTTTTTACTAATTATGAATAAAAAGAAACTCAAATAATAATTAATATTTAACCAGACAATAATTAAGTGGAAGTTAGTAATTAGCTGGACAAAAATTGATACTTAGCTAGGTATAAAATAATAATTAACTAGTTTTATATGAAAATAGATCTATAATCAAGTCAGTACTAATTATTTCTTAGTTTTTGTCTGATTTGTGTCTGATTATTTTTCAATTATTACTTATTTTTTATCCAATTACATACTAGAAATGAATGAATATTTTTCTAGATTTAAATCAGATATTTTTTTTAATATCAATATATATTTTTCTAAAATAGTTAAAACCAAAGTTAAATCTTGAGTTTAACAATATCTTAACCTTACTGCTACTTCATTAACTTCTGAAGCAATCAAAAAAATAAGAGATGCTCATACAAAACAGATACTAAATAGAAAATGCATTATATATGCTAATTATAAAATTAGTAGTGAAAGATATAATGATATTGTAAATAGCCAGATATATCCTTAACTACCTGAAATAGAAATAACATTTATGAATTTATTTATCTCAATATCTTAACCAGAAATCTTGTCTATACATAGCTTATCAAGTGCCAGAAATCCTGAGCAAGTAATTTCTTTGAGCAAATCAGTGACAAAAAAGACTAGCAAAAAATCAGAATCAAAAACTATAAATCATTTTATCTCATCAATACCAGGAAGTAATATGCAAGCTAAAATGGAAAATTTACAAGAATATAATAAACAGCTTCAAAGCTGAATCTTGAAATCGTATTAATTCTTTTTTAAAATATTCTGTATAATCAAGAGCTCTAATAAATTTCTTTTTAATAGTTGCTTTATTTTCTAGATTTTTTATACCTGATATAATTTGAATCTTAGAATAAAATTCTAGTCTGAGAAAGAAATCAATTTGTTTGTCAGAATCTATTATGTTTTTTTTTTAAATCTTTAGTGAATGAATTAGAAACTTGGTCTCTTTTTTCTCATAAGATGCTGGCTCCTCTTTAGTATCGATCTTGGTAGAAGAATCAAAAGTTTGATTTTTTGAATTATTATCCTAAATCACTATTGTATAAAGGCTTAATAAAACATTATTCTTAATTGGCTTAGTAAAGGTTAAAATAATATAAGATTTTCCACAAACTATTATTTGAAATTCATGTTTGTTTGTATCTAAAATTCCTTAAACTTTTCGAATCTATGGCATTTCTAAACAAAAAAGGTAATTGGATTTTCTATCATCAATAACAACAACATGTTCTGTTTCAGTAACCCATTTATTTTTATATTTTATAGATATTGGTACATCCTTATGTCCTTCTTCTAATTTCGTTATATGATCAGAATTATGTCTAAGAAAAAAATTTGGTGCCATCCCAAGATTCCATCCTAATGCCTCATTTAGTACTTTATTCATAACAAGACATCCCGATACTGCATCAGCAAACCCATCTGAAATAATTATATCTTCAATTCTATACTGCATATATTCAAGTGATTTAGTCTATTTATTTTTTGTAAATAGGGCAATAATTTTTTTTCACATTGCTAGAGATAATAATTCTAATAACTGGTCATCTGATTTTGGAAAAAGGTTTGGCATAGTGATTTTTTCATTTTGTTTAGATTCTGTAACTAAAGATTTGCATGAAATTACTGATTTATTCTGTGATGTCTTACTTATTGTTAGTGATATTCTTTTTTTTTCTAAATAAGATGAAAGGACATGTTATTGATTATCTTTCTCATTATATCCACCTTCATCCTTTTCACTATCATCTGAATTAGGAAGTGTATATTGGAGATATATTGGCTTGAGAGATATAAAATATGATCGAGTATAATTAAATTGGACTATAGATTGATTGGGACATTTGCCCTTGCTATGACCTGTTTTTTTACAAATTTCATATTTCTTTATATACACTTTTTTCTGTAATTGGTCTGCTAACTGATTTATAGTATCTTGAGTTTCATTAAGCCCTTCTTTTATTCTATTCATTCTGACAGATTGGTTAGATCTTTGTGGTTTTTTATATAAGACTTTTGCTTGCTCGAGGTATTTAAGGTAATCTGAATCTTGAGAAAGTGGATCTATATTATTATCTTCTTGATCTATTATGTAAAATGCTTGCCAAGGTTTTTCTAATTTTATAAGATAAAACTTGAATAAGGGTTGAAAATTTCCTACTATTGCAACTTGTGATTGTTGTACTTAAAGTTTAGCCTTTAATTTTTCTATCTTAGCTTTAGATTCAGCTTGCTGTTTTGCAAATACATCTTGAATTATTTTTTGCATATCAGCCATAGGAAATGCTGGTTGTTGAGATATAACATCTGAAATAGCAGAAGCAATAGGTACATAGTAAGGTTGAGATGGTGCCTTTTGTAATATTCTATGACATAATTCAAGTTTTGCCAAACTATTAATAATATTGTTAATGGGTTTTGTTTGACCAATTCTATAAATTTCATCTCTAATATCAGGTCTAACTCCAGATAAGAAATGGGGTTTCTTCTGTACTAGAGTATAATCCAGTTGATCACCATATTTTTTAATTTTTGTCCAGAATGAAGATATACTCTTATATACACCTTGTCTTAATGCTTTAATTTCTAACATCTTTACATATTTATTAGCAATTGAATAATGTTTTTTTATCTATGAAAGCCTTTGTCCAAATCATATTCCTGCTAGAATAATAGGAACACTTTCTTTAGCATTTGGTACAACTGGTATTGCATTAGTTGGGTATTCTCTTGCTATTGTTCAATCTTTAGCAACATTTCGAGCAGGAATAATTTGTGCATCTGTAAGTCCAAGTAGAACATTTGGGAAAGAAGTGACTGCACCTGTTATACCTCCTGCATTAGCACTATAAATATGTACTATTATTGCACCTATACCAAAGTTATTAAGTACATTTCTAACTCCCAATTTTTATTATCAAATTCTCTATAATACTATTCTTTTGCTTCTCCTTTTAAGGATCAATCTAATATAGTAAGAATATTTGCATCATTATTTACTCTAGCCAAGGTAATATATGATATAAAACTATCTATGAAATCTTCATAATCTTTTTCATTATCATGAAATTCTGGTTGTACAAATCCTATCTCTTAGATTGTAGTAGAACACAAGCAAATTTGTCTACATTTTTGCACTTTTTTAGCTCTGATCTACTTTTTTAAAAAACTAAAATATTTAAATAAAATTTGATATAATAATATT